AGTGCAGTTGATAGTTAATAGGATGTTATTGGCAACCTCGCAAGATTAAAGGAAAAGGGTAGGGTCGGGTGGGCAGATAGATAGAGGAGTAGGAAGTACAGTCCTCAAGAAATGGGGTAGAGAAGGAGACAGGAGTAGTAAATTAGATTGGCGAGCAGTAATAAGATACAGCAAATAAATAATACTCATTGTATTTGAGGTTGTTGATATTTTTTTCTTCTGTGTTCTAAGACAAGAAAGGATTAAACTTGTGAAAATTAGACAACAAATATAAACATCTAGCATAGAGTATGGCTTACAGTAAGCAATCTCTGTAATAGTCACTCCCTTCTTTTCTTTTCAATGTAAAAATGAAGGAGTAGCAGAGAAAGGGATGATGAAGAGAAAGGTAACACACAGAACAACACAGAAAAGAAATGCAGGAAATGGGGCATGAGCATCTTTCTGGGGTGATGAAACATTCTAAATTGGATTGCCGGATGGTTGTGCAACTCTGTAAATTTCCTAAAAGTTCTTAAAAAATTTTTTTTTTAAGAAGGTAAATGTAGGATTAAAAATAGGGAAGGAAAACTTCAAATGTTTGTGAAAGCATTCTTCCTAGGTTCACTGGTGCTGCCCATGAAGTGTGAAGTGAAGCAGGCATGGGGCAGGAAGCACCCTGAAGAGGAGAACAAAGGACTCACCTCTCATTTTCTTTAATGCCTGTTGACACTGCCAAAAAGAGGAATTCCAGAGGTGATAATTTACAGGGACTATCCATGTCAGCCCAGGATAATTTAGTGCCCTCCCACACTAGCTGTATCTCTCACATGCACTCATTAAACTCATAACTGTGCTACTCAGGGGAAGCCAGTAACAAAACATATCCAGCAGGAAGTGTGGATGAGATGCCTCACACATCTCTTTAATTTCTGTAAAGTGCATCGTGATGTTCCTTCTTTCATTCCAGATTTGTCATTTGATTCTTCTCTTATTTTTTTCTTGGTTCCCTATTCAAGGTTTGTTACTTTGTTGATCTTCCCAAAGAATCACCTTGATTCATCGATTTTCTTGCTCTGTGCTTATTATTGTCCTTCTTGTTGCTGCTGTGGGTGTAGGTTTGCTTTCTCTTTCTAGTTTCTTAGGTGGAAAGCTAGGTTATTGATTTGAGAAAGTTCTTCTTTATTAGGCATTTTCATCTATCAATTTCCCTCTCAGCACTGCTTTAGCTATATCCCATAAGGTTTGTTATGATGTTTTTATCACATACCTTCCTCAGCTCCTGTGCCTTGCACTTTACTCCAGATCTCTATAAAGCACCATGTAGCAGCATTCCTTGGTTTCTTTCTTTTTTTGTATTTTAAAATATCTAGACATTGATTATTTATAAGATCATTACTTTTCTAGAATTGATTCTTGCCTTTCTTCATTTCTAGGATATCTTGCTTCTTTTACTTTTTCGTTTTATGTTCACTTACTGTTTTTTTTTCCTCTTGAATGCTAGTGATTATTTTGCAACAGCATGGGAATAGCAGTGAAGAATAAGCAGGAAATAGAGGCAGTCACTAAAATGTAGAGAGAGAGAGAAAGATAGAGAAAGTTAGGTAACTTATTAAGATTAATGGTATCTTAAGAAAATAATTGTTTAAAGCATAATGAATGTAGCTATCAGTTTTAGTTATTCCTAATCATACAAGCATAAATTGATGCCTTTCTACAATTTTTCTTCTTATATTTTGTAAAACAGTATGAGACTGACTCACCTTGGGGAAGAGTAGGATCAAGGGATGATTTAATCATGGGGTTTATGGATACCTAAAGAGCTATTATGGATGAAAACATGGGTTGTTTTTCTTCCATCTGAGATGACCCATATCTCAGATGGGGTCTTGCTCTTGTTCAGGCTGGTTTTGAGCTCCTGACCTCAAGCAATCTGCCCGCCTCGGCCTCCCAGAGTGCCAGGATTACAGGCGTGAGCCACCGCACCCGGCTTGTCATTGTTTATAGTGGTTTGCATCATACTGATTTTTTTAAAAAAATATGTAATCTAATTTACTAGTTGCTTTCTTTAAGACTTCTGGTTTTGATTATAGTTAGAAAAGCCTCCTCCATTTGGAAGTATGAAAGGATTTTCCTATGCTTATCCTAGTACTTTTATGGTGATAGTTTTTACATTTAACATATCTGGAATCTATTCTTGTGTAAGGTTTGAATGGTGGGTCCAATATGTTCCCCCAAATATCTGCTCAGTTGTTCCCCCCAACAGCATGTACTAAATATTCTATCTTTTCCCCCCACTGAGCTGAGATGCTACCTTTGTCATAAAATAAATTCTCATATGTATTTGGACATATTTCTGAACTTACTGTTTTCTTCCTGTGATGGTTAATTTTATGTGTCAGCTTGATTGGGCCATGGGATGCCCACATAGATGGTTAAACACTATTTCTGAATGTGTCTGTCAGGGGGGTTTCTGGAAGAGATTAGCATTTGAATTGGTAGACTGAGTAAAACAAATGGCTCTCCCTAGCAAGTGGGCATCATCCAATCCATTGAGGGCCTGAATAGAACAGAAAGGCAGAGGAAGGGTGAATCTGCTCTCTGCCTGACTGCTTGAGTGGGGACATGGATCTTCCCTTGCCTTCAGAGCTCTTGGTTCTCAGGTGTTCAGACTAGCACTGGAACCTACACCACTGGTTCTCCAACTCTCGGGTCTTTGGACTACACAACTTGCTTTCCTGGATCTCCAGCTTGCAGATGGCAGATGGTGAACACTTCTCAGCCTCCATAATTGTGTGAGCCAATACCTTATAATAAATCTTTTTCTACATCTGAGCATTACCTATCCTATTGGCTGTTTCTCTGGAGAACCCTAACTAATGTATTTCCCTTGACTGATTTATTTATTCATGGGCCAGCACCATGCTACTTCATTATTGAGGCTTTATAACCTTGTGAGTCTAATCATATCCTCATTTTTCCATTTTAGAATTTTCCCTGGCTATTTGCGTTTATTTTTTTTTCCTCATGAGTTTAGAAGTAGCATATCTATTTAAACATCCTGTTGGTATATGTATTGGGACCACAATAAATATGTGGAGAATACACAATTCATGAAAAATAACAAGGAGAATTGACAATCAAAGGTGTCATTATGATGTGTTCCTATCAAATAATATGTTATTAATTTTATTAATTCAAGTCTTCTTTTTTTTTTTGAGACAGAGTCTCACTCTGTTGCCTGGGCTAGAGTGCCATGGTATCAGCCCAGCTCACAGCAACCTCAAATTCCTGGGCTCAAGTGATCCTACTACCTCAGCCTCCTGAGTAGCTGGGACTACAGGCATGCACCACCATGCCTGGCTAATTTTTTCTATATATTTTTAGTTGGCCAATAGATTTCTTTCTATTTATAGTAGAGACGGGGTCTCGCTTTTGCTCAGGCTGGTTTCGAACTCCTGACCTTGAGCAATCCGCCCGCCTCGGCCTCCAAGAGTGCTAGGATTACAGGCGTGAGCCCCCGTGCCCAGCCTAATTCAAGTCTTCTTTTCTGTCCTTCAGGAACATTTTCAGTTTTCCTGGTATCTTTTCTTGTTAAATTTATACCACAGTATTTCTTATTTTTGTTTCCCTTATTAATAGGGTTCTTTCTTCTATTATATCTTTGTATCATTATATCTTTAAACTAATTGTGATTTATATATGTCAAATATATTGATTTCTGTAAATTAATAATATACTCCACTGATTACCAAATTATCTTATTTTTGTAGTAGCTTTTTATTGTTTCTCTAATTTATTTTTTGTTTTCTAGTCTAATTGTATTGGCTACTTCCAGAATATAATTTAATATAAAATTAAAATGGTAATAATCCTTTCCATATTAAGCATACTATTTACTTTTGAACTAAGATCAATCTTTTCTACCAAGTTAGGGTATTCATCTCTTTTTTATTAAAAATGAACAGAAAGGCAGAGGAAGGGTGAATCTGCTCTCTGCCTGACTGCTTGAGTGGGGACATGGATCTTCCCTTGCCTTCAGAGCTCTTGCTTCTCAGGTGTTCAGACTAGCACTGGAACCTACACCACTGGTTCTCCAACTCTCGGGTCTTTGGACTACACAACTTGCTTTCCTGGATCTCCAGCTTGCAGATGGCAGATGGTGAACACTTCTCAGCCTCCATAATTGTGTGAGCCAATACCTTATAATAAATCTTTTTCTACATCTGAGCATTACCTATCCTATTGGCTGTTTCTCTGGAGAACCCTAACTAATGTATTTCCCTTGACTGATTTATTTATTCATGGGCCAGCACCATGCTACTTCATTATTGAGGCTTTATAACCTTGTGAGTCTAATCATATCCTCATTTTTCCATTTTAGAATTTTCCCTGGCTATTTGCGTTTATTTTTTTTTTCCTCATGAGTTTAGAAGTAGCATATCTATTTAAACATCCTGTTGGTATATGTATTGGGACCACAATAAATATGTGGAGAATACACAATTCATGAAAAATAACAACTTAAGGAGAATTGACAATCAAAGGTGTCATTATGATGTGTTCCTATCAAATAATATGTTATTAATTTTATTAATTCAAGTCTTCTTTTTTTTTTTGAGACAGAGTCTCACTCTGTTGCCTGGGCTAGAGTGCCATGGTATCAGCCCAGCTCACAGCAACCTCAAATTCCTGGGCTCAAGCAATCCTGCTGCCTCAGCCTCCTGAGTAGCTGGGGCTACAGGCATGTGCCACGATGCCCAGCTAATTTTTTCTATATATATTAGTTGGCCAATGAATTTCTTTCTATTTATAGTAGAGATGGGATCTCACTCTTGCTCAGGCTGGTTTCGAACTCCTGACCTCAAGCTATCCACCCGCCTCGGCCTCCCAGAGTGCTAGGATTACAGGTGTGAGCCACCGCGCCTGGCCCTCTTCCTGGTAATTTCTTACAACTAGAAAACCTTAGAATTATCTCCACTTCTGTACAGTTGTCGCTGTTCCTGACCTTCTCAACATACCTCTGCTGGGTAACATTTGCTGTCCACGGTGTGCTCGGAGCCCCAGGCATCGATGGCCCCCCAGTGAAAATGAAACTGCTTCAATCGGTAGTTGTGTTCCAGGGGTCCTCCCTCGATCACTAAAATGGCACATCCAAAAATTCAGGACATGGTTATTTATGCTGTGGGGGAATGCGGGTGAAAGGCCAAATCTGTATGGGAACTGTCTTAAATGGTATACCTGTATTACATACAAGTGTTCATAAATTTGATTTCCATGTGGTCAATGCATGTATAAGGGCAAGAGTGAATGACACCACAATTTGAACACATACCAACCTACGTACAATTGTTAAAGGCCGATTCTTGACTTATTTTTATATTTTATATTTACTATGTCCAGTTTTCTTTTGTGTGCAAATGCAAATTTCTCTCAGCATATTTATCCAACCCAGTTGCATAATACTAAAATATGGGGGCAAATGGTTCTTTCTTTTTTATACATGGATACTTTGCTTTTCAATTTTTAAAGATACTAGTGGTTTCTTTCCCTTTCATTGAAATGGAATAGGAAATTTGCAAGTCAAAAATTAGCACCTGGGAGATATTGGCCAAAGGGAACAAAGTTTCACTTAGACAAGGGAAATATCTTTTCCAGATTTATTGCACAACATGGTGAACATAGTTAATAATAATATTTTGCATATTTCAAAATGGCTAAGAGAGTAGATTTTTTATTGATTGATTGATTGAGACAAAGTCTGGCTCTGTTGCCTGGGCTAGAGTGCCATGGAGTCAGCCTAGCTCACAGCAACCTCAAACTCCTGGGCTCAAGCGATCCTACTGCCTCAGCCTCCCAAGTAGCTGGGACTACAGGCATGTGCCACTATGCCCGGCTACTTTATATATATATATATATTTTTTTTTTAGTTGTCCAGATAATTTCTTTCTATTTTTAGTAGAGACGGGGGTCTCACTCTTGTTCAGGCTGGTCTCGAACTCTTGACCTTGAGCAATTCACCTGCCTAAGCCTCCCAGAGTACTAGGATAATAGGCATGAGCTACCGCGCCTGGCCGAGAGATTTTAAATGTTCTCACTACAAAAGAATGGTACGTGAGGTGATGGATATGTTAATTGCTTGATATAATCATTCCAGAATGTGTGTGTGTGTGTGTGTGTGTATATATATTTTAAAACATCACATTATACCCCATAAATATATGCAATTATTGCCAATTTAAAGAATGCAAAAATTATCACCCATCTTTCTTTGGGCAGAATGAACAATGTGAGCCATCCACACAATTTACCTCTGGTCTTGCCGTGTTGGATAATAAATACGTTTTGTTTAGACTAGACTTTTCTGGTACTAGTGAAATCAATCCATTATAGGCAAGATATTCAGATAAAGAAAGTTTTTACAGTCACCCTTTTTTCAGGCTTTGAGTTGTGTTGACTTTTTTTTTCTTGAATTTGCTGAGGCATATTAATTCGTCTTTTCTTCTATCTGGTCAGCCCCGGCGATGTCTATACATGGTCACACCAACATAGCAACACTAAAACCATCCATCTCATCCATCTTAATGATCTTTAGAGTTTATTGCATCATTAGTTGAATTTTATGTGTACAAATGATCGAGTACCAATCCCACAAACCAAATATACTGGACACACATCATGCAATGGTCTGCTATGTATTTTAGCAGCTTTTGAGAAATTCTTACATAATTTCCTCCAAAAAAAGTTTTGTAAACGGTGAATGAAGAAATCAATGACCACTTCTCTTTGGGGGAGAGGGGAGGTGCAGAGAATAATACTATCTGATTTGCTAAGTTAATAGGAGGAAGGTACTAAAATGCACTGAAATAAAAATAAAATATCTTCCAAAAACTCTTATTTTTCTATGCCAGCTCTATATTGTAGCATGATTTTGGCAAATAGTTCTGGTCCCAAGTTAAGTGATCAGGACAGAGAAAAGCCAACTTTTCTCTCCTATCCCTAGAACAACACTGGCAACATTTCCTGGACCTTTACTGTATGTTTCCTCCAAAGATGATGAGCATGGCAGGAAGGATATGTCACCCATGGGTGGCTGTAAGGAAAGGGGATGTGTAGAATTGGTCTTCAGGTGTGTTTTGATTCACCCATACAGCACTGATTCACATAATATTAAACACATTTTTAAATTCGTTGCCAACATTTAAAGCTAGACAATTTCATATAAAAATCTCTATTTCCAACTTAACTTGTGAAAATGAGACAACCTGGCCACAATGAGTGCACAATCCTACTGGGTGACAACAGGTGGGAGAAACGGCTGTCCCCTTTAGAGGGGCATGCCAGTTCTTCACCATTGCCACTGCTGCCATTCCCCTCAAATACCCCTAGCCTCAGTCTCATTACCTACCTGGCCTATAGGTGCATCTGCATTGTGACCCCTGGGAGAGGAGAGGTTAGAGGACCAGGAATCTAACGTGGACACTTGCTAGCTGGAAAATCATTAAGTCCCTACCATGTGCTGGGCACCATACCTATATAATAAATCATACATGCGGGAGAGGTGGGACGGGGAGGTATTCTACTGTAAAATGTGGTTGAGAGCATGTATTATACTTTGTAGGAAAAGGCCCTCAGTTTGAATCAGTTGACTGTGTCATTAGCCATGTGTGCTGGCAGTTTCTAAATTGGTGCCCAATGATCGCCATCTCCTGGTATTCAAAAACTTGTGTAATCCCCTCCCCTGAGGCAAAAGTGATGGGATGTTACTTTCGGGATTAGGATACAAAGAGACACTGGCTTCTACCCTGCTTGCCCTCTCTGAGTTCACTCACTTGCTTGGTCTGCTGCAGCCAGCTGCCATGCGTGAGCTGCCCTATGGAGAGGCCCACAGCAAGGAAACAAGCGTGGGCTCTGGCCATCAGCTACCCAGGAATGAAGGCCCCCAGAGAAACTAAATCCTGCTAACAGCCACTTGAGTTTAGAAGAGTATCCTTTGACAAAGGAGCCTTGAGATGAGACTGACATCTTGATCACAGTCTTTTGAGAGACACAGAGCCACAGAGCCCAGCTAAGCTGTACCCAAATTCCCAGTCCATGAAGCATGCTCTGCAAAATTCTCCACGAATCAGCTCTTGCTTACCTCTGGACTTAGTTTTCTGCCACCTTCTTACATTTTTTTAATTTTTTTGAGACAGAGTCTCGCTTTGTTGCCCAGGCTAGAAAGTGAGTGCCATGGCATCAGCCTAGCTCACAGCAATCTCAAACTCCTAGGCTCAAGCAATCCTCCTGCCTCAGCCTCCCAAGTAGCTGGGACTACAGGCATGCACCGCCATGCCCCGCTAATTTTTTCTATATATATTAGTTGGCCAATGAATTTCTTTCTATTTATAGTAGAGAGGAGTAGAGACAAGTAGGCTGAGGAGTAGTACTTGGCCTCCCAGAGAGCTAGGATTATAAGCGTGAGCCACCACCCAGCCTCTAAGCTCCTTAAAGGCAGAGACCATCTCTTCCTCTTTGTATTCTGAGCACCTGGCACTTAGTAGATCCACAATGAAACCAGGAACTAAAGAAACAGACTGCCAAGTGGCAGTTGGATTAGTTAATAGAGATGTTATTGGCAACCTCAGCAAGATTAAAGGAAAAGGGTAGGGTCGGGTGGGGCAGATGAATAGAGGGGAGTAGGAAGTACAGTCCTCAAGAAATGGGGTAGAGAAGGGAGACAGGAGATAGTAAATTAGATTGCAGAGCAGTAATAAGATACAGCAAATAAATAATACTCATGTATTTGAGGTTGTTGATATTTTGTTTCTTCTGTGTTCTAAGACAAGAAAGGATTAAACTTGTAGAAAATTAGACAACAAATATAAAACATCTAGCATAGAGTATGGCTTACAGTAAGCAATCTCTGTAATAGTCACTCCCTTCTTTTGCTTTTCAATGTAAAAATGAAGGAGCTAGCAGAGAAAGGGATGATGAAGAGAAAGGTAACACACAGAACCCACACCAGAAAAGTAAATGCAGGAAATGGGCATGAGCAATCTTTCTGGGGTGATGGAAACATTCTAAAATTGGATTGCACGGATGGTTGTGCAACTCTGTAAATTTCCTAAAAGTTCTTAAAAAAATTTTTGTTTTTAAGAAGTAAATGTAGGATTAAAAATAGGGAAGGAAAACTTCAAATGTTTGTGAAAGCATTCTTCCTAGGTTCACTGGTGCTGCCCCATGAAAGTGTGAAGTGAAGCAGGATGGGGCAGGAAGCACCCTGAAGAGGAGAACAAAGGACTCACCTCTCATTTTCTTTAATGCCTGTTGACACTGCCAAAAAGAGGAATTCCAGAGGTGATAATTTACAGGGACTATCCATGTCAGCCCAGGGATAATTTAGTGCCCTTCCCCACACTAGCTGTATCTCTCACATGCACTCATTAAACTCATAACTGTGCTACTCAGGGGAAGCCAGTAACAAAACAATATCCAGCAGAAGGTGGTGGGATGAGATGCTCACACATCTCTTTTAATTTCTGTAAAGTGCATCGTGATGTCTCCTCTTTCATTCCAGATTTGTCATTTGAATCTTCTCTCTTATTTTTTTCTTGGTCTCCCTAATTCAAGGTTTGTTAACTTTGTTGATCTTCCCAAAGAATCAACCTTGATTTCATCGATTTCTTGCTCTGTGCTTTATTATGTCCTTCTTGTTGCTTGCTGTGGGTGTAGTTTGCTCTTCTCTTTCTAGTTTCTTAAGGTGGAAAGCTAGGTTATTGATTTGAGAAAGTTCTTCTTTATTATAGGCATTTTCATCTATCAATTTCCCTCTCAGCACTGCTTTAGCTATATCCCATAAGGTTTGTTATGATGTTTTTATCACATACCTTCCTCAGCTCCTGTGCCTTGCACTTTACTCCAGATCTCTATAAAGCACCATGTAGCAGCATTCCTTGGTTTTCTTTTCTTTTTTTTGTATTTTAAAATATCTAGACATTGATATTTATAAGATCATTACTTTTCTAGAATTGATTCTTGCCTTTCTTCATTTCTAGGATATCTTTGCTTTCTTTTACTTTTTCTGTTTTATGTTCACTTACTGTTTTTTTTTTCCTCTTTGAATGCTAGTGATTATTTTGCAACAGCATGGAGAAATAGCAGTGAAGAATAAGCAGGAAATAAGAGGCAGTCACTAAAATGTAGAGAGAGAGAGAAAGATAGAGAAAGTTAGGTACTTATTAAAGATTAATGGTATCTTAAAGAAAATAATTGTTAAAGCATAATGAAATGTAGCTATCAGTTTTAGTTATTCCTAATCATACAAGCATAAAATTGATAGCCTTTCTACAATTTTTCTTCTATATTTTGTAAAAACAGTATGAGACTGACTCACCTTGGGAAGATAGGATCAAGGGATGATTTAATCAGTGGGGTTTATGGATAACTAAAGAGCTATTATGATGAAAACATGGGTTGTTTATTTTCCATCTGAGATGACCCATGCAAATGGATAGATAAGAATTCTTGAATCTATTGTTCAAAAGAAAAATAGATGACTAAAAAATAAAACAAACAGCTATTTGCCCTGAAAAATCTTGGGCTTAACTTGCTTGGTCAAGAAACCTATTAAACAACTTTCTAAGACTTCCAGCTCAATGAAGCAATAATATTATATTGGCAACAAACAGTCCCTAGACGGTCAAGGGCTTAAGAAAGCTGACCACAACCCTAGAATCCTCAGAAGAAAGAAGGTTGCCAGGAACCTTGATGAGATCGAGACTTGAAAGAACTTCTATGTATCCAGAGTGAATGGATAAGAGTTGGTGCCCTATGGATTGGGTCTGTCCATTAGTTTAGTTCTGGCAGGGATAATGGTAGAGCTCTACGGGGGGCAAGCAGAGCTCACCAGAGTGCAAGAGTCATCTGGAACACAGGAATTTAGCTTGCTGTTTTGAAGATTTCTGAAATCCTTATATGCAACATAACATTATGGTAGTCCAGTTGAGATGGGGGCACACCCTAGAGTTTGGGGAAAATTAAGAAAGATGCCCATGGGCCGGGCACAGTGGCTTATGCCTGTAATCCTAGCAATCTAGGAGGCCGAGGCAGGTGGATTGCTCGAGGTCAGGAGTTCAAAACCAGCCTGAGCAAAAGCGAGACCTGTCTCTACTATAAATAGAAAGAAATTAATTGGCCAACTAACATATATAGAAAAAATTAGCCAGGCATGGTGGCGCATGCCTGTAGTCCCAGCTACTTTGGAGGCTGAGGCAGGAGGATCGCTTGAGCCCAGGAGTTTGAGGTTGCTGTGAGCTAGGCTAACGCCATGGCACTCTAGCCTGGGCAACAAAGTGAGACTCTGTCTAAAAAAAAAAAAAAAAAAAAGAAAAAGAAAAATGCCCATGAATCTTGGAATCTTGGAGGAAAAGAGCTATTCCTTCTTGGTTTGAGATATGTAAGTAAGATGTTCAGGATTTGGGGGCTATGTCATATCATAGAGGAGAAAGAGGAAAATGAGGAGTGAGGAGACACTTAAGCACTTAAGGAAAGACTCAAATACTTATTGAATCACAGCAGAGAAGTATGTCAGAGGGAAGAGAACCAGCGACAGATTAAGACCATTGAAGGAGCAATCTGTTTGTAGCTGGGCCAGAGGGCCATGTCTAAGTATCTGAGCATCACTAGGAAAATGCAAAGAAAACAAAGACACAGTTAAGAATCCTAGAGCCAGGATAAATACAGGCATGGCCATTTCTATTTATGGTTTAAGTTACCCTTTTTACTCCACTCATTATCATTTTTGTGGACTCATTTCCTAATGTTCATGAGAGAAAACAAACTCCTTTTAGATCAAGATTGCTCAATCTCAGCTCTATTAATATTTCAGGCTAGATAACTCTTCCTTACAGCTGTTCTGTGCACTATAGGATCTTTAGCAGCAGCATCCTTGAGCCACTAGATGTCAGTTTCACTCCCCTAGCCCAGTTGTGACAATCAAAAACTACATCCAGATGCTGCTAAGTATCCCCAGTCCTGGGATGGGGTGGTGGCAGGAAGAAAGGTGGCAGAATTGCCACTGATTGGGAACTACTTTAGATATGCTATTTCAAATAATAATTATTTCAGACTAATTAGGACTATTTGATACCATGAAACTCAGTAAAGAAAGAAAAAGAAGAAACCTACATGGAATTAATCACATTCTGTCTTCTATAGACACCAAAAGTTTCAGGTGAACTTTGAAATCACTCCCATTAGTTTATATCCAGGTAGGTTAAAAAGAAGAAGAAGAAGAAGAAGAAGATTCAAAAAGCAACATAATATTTGGCTTTAAGAAATTCTTCTAAAGTATGTTTCTTTTAAACTAGGTAACATTTTTTATTTAACAAAATTAGCAGAAGTTTCCATTTCTCACAATGTATCACAATCTGGTAAGTTAAATATGATTAAACAGTGTTATTATTTAATATAAAAGTTTTTGTAAAATCAGCAAGCAGAGGAAAAATTAGTACATATCCAATATACACATATGAAATGAATTTCTGGCAAAACTTCAGTTTCATACCCTATCTTCTATACCAATTATAGAATCTATACATAGAGACATGTATTTATTAATAAAATACTACCTCTATTGGTTGAACAAAATGTAAATAAAAACTAGAAGGGACTTTTGTCATACATTCAAAAAGTAAGATCAATGAGTTCCATGCCATTGCTAACAGAGCTCGATACTCTCATGGAGGGAGTTTGATGTGGCCTGTGTTGTCACTGTACTGTTCCTTTAACTCCAGACAAGACCAACAACACAAGATCTTGCCCTCACCTGATTTATCTGTAGAATCTTCAAATTCCACAAGGAAAGAGTACCCGTTATTCCAGACATGGAGGCAGGTGGTCGGGTCATAAGAGATGGTGAGCGGTTTTAAGCCAGGATCATAAACACTGTCTCTCCACCGGATGTTGATGGGCGACTGTCGATCACCTGCCGGAGCCAGGTCCACGCTCTCCCAGAGTGGATGCACTAGGAGAAAGCAGGTCAGGGATATTATCAAGACCATCCACTATCTAGCATCACGCATGAGGCAACCCCACTTCTGGAGAACCTGTCGAGGCTAATGGAAACTTGAGTCCTTAGGACTTAGCCATTGTGATGGTTAATTTTACATCCTATTGCTCTGTCTCCCTGGAGAATCCTGAATAATATTAGCTGCTTAGGGCCTTAATCAAGTGACTAAAGCAGAGGATAAAGGCAGGTCAGAGAGCACCTTCCAGAGGAACAGCACTCTGCCATCTGGAAAAACCAACACATCTCAGTCTGCCTACCAAGTTCACCTAAATCAAGTGCAATCAATCCTATGATAACAGTAAAACACATAGAGATCAGTGCCATGTGGAAATACAGTATTCACAAATGAGTCTCTTTTCTTCTCTGATAATTTCCTGAGTCCCAACCCCAAAAGCAGCTTTAAATACAAAGACAAAGTAATTTAGTTTTCAATGACAGACTTATTCTCAATAAAGAAAATAGGGAAGAATTTTTGGAAAGCAAACTTTCAGTCACATATTGTCCGTTTTTAATGGTTGGCTAGTAGATAAGAAAGGCTTGTGTAGCCTGCATCCTGTAAAATGCTCACCCCACACAAATGTGCATGCTGAGTTCACCTCTTACGTAAGCAAACTCTGAGGACTAGGCAGCCGTCCTGCAAAACCTGGGTAGAATATCAGCATTGCCAAGGTCCTTGCAGTTCAGTGTGTCAGGTAAATGTGGACATTATCTACCAATGTGTACACATATAGTCTGTCCCACCCAGGGACTGATGACATTGCTGATGCTGATTTTCTTCTACAGAGTCAAGCGCTGGGTCTTTGTAGCAAGTCCCCGACAAATATCAGCAGACTTTCTGATAACACAGATGGGCCCGTTGAGACATCCATGTGTGATGAACAGAACCCCATATATCAGTTTGGGGTCGTCCAGTTCTTTCTTTTTTTAAACATATATATACATATTTTTGAAACAGAGTCTCACTCGGTTGCCCTGGCTAGGGTGCCATGGCGTCAGCCTAGCTCACAGCAACCTCAAACTCCTGGGCTCAAGCAACCTTCTGCCTCAGCCTCCCGAGTAGCTGGGACTACAGGCATGCACCACCATGCCCGGCTAATTTTTCTATATATTTTAGTTGGCCAATTAGTTTCTTTCTATTTATAGTAGAGACGGGGTCTCGCTCTTGCTCAGGCTGGTCTCGAACTCCTGAGCTCAAGTGATCCTCCCGCCTCGGCCTCCCAGAGTGCTAGGATTACAGGCATGAGCCACCTCACCCAGCTGGTCCAGTTCTTGAGTACCATGGATGGGTAGAATCAAGATCAAAAACCAAAACTAGGAGAAACGTGAATCGAGAAAAATCAATACCAACAACCCTCTGCATCTTGGCCCCCAGCTAAAAATAAGTCTAAGGATTTGACTAAGGTGGCTGTCTCATTACCCAGTCAAATCTCCCACGTATGGCAGGGTCATCTTCCTATTTATATAAAAAAACAGAAACCTGCCTCTGTTTTACTCTGACAGAGGAGACATTACTCTTCCTTTGGTCGTTGCCCAAAGATGGAAGTCAAAATCTTAGCCTTGGTGTTGTTTTGTTTTTTTTGCAAAAGTGCCCCAGCAATATAGACATAGATCCCTCCTGAGAGTGTCCAGATCAGTGAGTCTCAACAGAAGGAGGGACTCAGCCCCCAAAAACATTTGGCAACGTCTGGAGACATTTTTGGATGGCAAAACTTGGGGAGGATGCTGCTGACATCTAGTGGATCGAGGCTAGGAATGCTGCTAAACATCCTACCATGCAGAGGACAAGCCCCCAACCATAAAAAATTATCTGGCCCAAAATGCCAATAATGCCAAAGTTGAGAAATCTGGGTCTGGAGATAAAAGGTGTATGCAAAATCACATATTTTTTTTCTAGTTTTTCATATGATGCAGTACTCTCATCTTGGGAGAGGTCTCAACCCCATGTTTTGGGTTTTTTTTTTTCCTTAAGTACTAAAGAACTTGTGACGGACAAGAACTTTAAGAAGAAGAACTTTCTGTTTCAGAAATCTAAGATGGAAAATGCCTATGAAGTAGCACAATATTGTCATATTATAATCTGATTAGAATGCAACTTCCTTATGGGCAGGAGCCACGTCTTCCTCCTTTTTTGTTACCCCGTGGTGTCTTATTAAATACATGCCCTTTGAATATTGATTATCCAACTGGCATTTTTGGGAGGGAAACTATATTTTATCCAAATTGCATTAATTTTTAAACTTCTATAAAACCCTAGAATGGCCGTCATTCAGTTTCAAAGATTCCTGACACAGACAGACACACACGTTCTCCTCTGAGATACTCAGACTATGGGTGATCATTTGAGAATTCACACTCTTCAAAGCCAATTAATGAGGGTCTCCTGTGAAGAGCAGGGAAGAGCTGGAATGATGGTCAGGTCCCGAAAGACTATGCCCTCATGCCCTCGGCCAGCCTTAATTGTCCCCCTCTTCATTCAGGAAATGGAAAGTCTCAACTCTCACATTCATGCAAACACTAGCCCAAGAAAAATGGGCCTATGTGGGCTGTCCGGAAAGTAGCCAGCCATGTAGCCATTCTCGTTATATTAACAATGGCTGCCTACTTTCCGGACAGCCCTGTATTCCTTCCATTACTCTTGAACTCCTGACCTCAAGTAATCCTCCCGCCTCAGCCTTCCAGAATGCTAGGATTACAGGCGTAAGCCACCATGCCCGGCCCCTTCCATTACTCTTTTATGACCATAATGCTACTTTCAATTTATGCCCTTCAATTTACAAGTTCAGCTTCCAGAAGGTTCCCCCCCCCACTCCTTTATTAACGCAGACCATCCAACCTCCCATGGTGGGGGTGGGGGTGATCAGTGTTGGTCACTGTTCTCTTAGAGAAGCCAGTTTTTTCCCAAAGACTTGTTTTGCTAAAGATAAACTCACACTTTTTTTGTTTTGCTCTCTCCTTTTCTTCCTCCATTTAATCAAAAAACAGATTAAAATAATTTCTCATAATTGCTCATATTTTCCTTCGAAAATAGGAAGCCGAGTAAGTGTTCTGCCTAACAGAGGCTTCATTTTGAGGTTTTTCTTGTACAGGGAAAATGAAATAAATGAAGATAGTGATGGTACCAACCATGGTTTAGGTGAGCGAAGTCACATTGCCATTAAGAAGCTGTCAGTAATCCCTACTGATGAGCAACAAAAGTCCTTTAGGGAGATTTTCTGTTGAAAACAAGCTTGGTTTTAGTTCTTATTTATATGAGTAGTCTTAGGTTTGATTTCTTTTGTGTTTTAGCACTGTCTTACTCTGGTTAGGCTTTATCATAGATTAGGTGGCTTATACACAAAGAGAAATTCATTTCTGACAGTTCTGGAGTCTGGGAAGGCCAAGATTAAGGCAACATCAGATTTGGTGTCTGGCAAGGGCCAGCTTTCTGGTTCGCATTCAGGCTTGTTCTGTCTTCACATGGTGGGAGGTGCGAGGGAGCTCTCTGGGGTCTCTTTTATTAATATATTGGAAACTAATCCTATTCTTGAGGGCTCTGCCCTTATGACCTAATCAACTCTTAAAAGCCCCACCTCTTTAATACCACATCAACTTGGGGGTTAGGATTTCAACATGAATTTTAGGGGAACATAAAACATTCAGTCCATTGCCGCCACCTATTTCTCCAGCCTTGAGTGTCATTTCAGCTCTTGAAACGTGGAAAGCTCATTCCTACCTTAGCCCCTTTGTTCCTGTTCCTCCTACTCCACGAAAATCAGTTCCCCTCATTCAGCTCAGGGCTGGCTCCCATTATCTTTAGGTCTTGGGCTGAACTGCCACCTCCTCAGCAAAATTTTCTCTGGCTATTCTCTTATGATCCCCTCGTATTATAATTTTTTAATCACAGCACTCTGATTTTTTTCCTTCATAACATTTATTACATGAGTATAGCTCTAATTACATGCATATGTGCTTAATTATCGCCCCCCCCCCCACAAGCCAGCTGGCTTTCAATCACTATTGTGAATGGAATGAGTATGATAAAAAGGGCCTCGCTGGGAAGGTTTGTGCTATGGTGTGAATGTATGTGTCTCCCCAAAATTCATATGTTGAAATCCTAACCCCCAAGGTGACGGTATTAAGAGGTAAGGCCTTTGGGGGATGAATTAGGTCATGAAGCTGGAGCCCTCATGAAGGGGATTAGTTCCCTTATAAAAGAGGCTTGAGAAGGCTCCCCAGCTCCTTTTGCCATGTGAGGATGCAGGAACAAGGCACCATCTTTGAAGCAAAAAGCTGAATCTCCCAGCACCTTGATTTTGAACTTCCCAGCCTCCAGAACTCCAAGCGATACATTTTTGTTGTTTATAAATTACCTATAGCAGCCTGAATGGATTAAGACAGTTTGCTTCTCCTTTTCCTTTATGTCCTATTATCCCACTGATCACAGGGTTTTTTCTTTAAGAATCGTTCAGGTTTATCTCTTTCTCACCTTGCCCATGATTGCCAGCCTAGTTCAGGCCCCTACACCCCAGACTTCATACAAAGCCTCTTGTGGCTTTTCCTCCTCTCTCACTCCCCTCTACTGCTGAATTCTACCACCAAGCAGTTCTCCTAAATTATCACCTTCGTCTTGTTGCTCCTGTGCTAAAGATTGTACATCAAGTTGTAACTTCTGTGCCCAAGTGCCCAGTTTTCCTATTAGAGCCCACCTCACTTATCTAATCCCACTTCTCATCCTTCTCAAATTTTGGTCTTCCCACGCTGCTTTTCTCGGCTTGCTACTTTTCTTACAATTGCCCACTCACACAGACTTATCCCCATTTTTGTTTGTGCTTGAATGCCATGGTTCTCCTATCACTTATGGACATCTTTTCCAGCTCAAGTCTTATCTGATGACATTTTCTCCACCCACTCTGATCTTTGCTTTCTCTGAACTCACACTGAATTCACTTTCACACCATTTAGCACTCTACCATTCCTCATGTAGTGTGTATTTGCTTCATCTGCTCAGAGGGCCTGTGTCAACTCCAAGTCCACGCGGCCTGTGTCCTACATATTTTCTAAAGCTTCCAGGGCTAAATGTGGTACCAGGCACAGAGGGGACACTAAAAAACCAAACAGGTTGCCACCAAGGCTCTCTACCCTTACCTCACACTCACTGTCCTACATATTTTCTAAAGCTTCCAGGGCTAAATGTGGTACCAGGCACAGAAGGGACACTAAAAAACCAAACAGGTTGCCACCAAGGCTCTCTACCCTTACCTCACACTCACTGTCGGAGCAACATTAATATTAAAACAAAAATCATAAGACTGACCAGACTCTTTGTGACAATAAAATATTGAATTATTAACAAGACCTAAGGCCACAGAAAACAAAGGTTAAATCACGTCTACACGCTGCCAATTTGCTTAACAGATCACTTGAGTCTGTATAGTGTGACTTGTCTCTAATTAACAGACTTTCTTAACTTAAAACATTCTGAGCCTTTAGACAAAGCTTTACTTCTTTAACCAATTACAAATCAAAAAAATCTTTCAATCCTCCTATAGCATATAAGCCCTTGCTTTGAAATGTCCTGCCTTTTTGGGCCAAACCTTCCACATATTGATTTATGATTTTACCTATAATTCCTGTCTCCATAAATATATAAAACCAAACTATAACCTGGCCAACCTCCCACATATTTTCTCAAGACCCGTTGAGACTATATCCCTGGGCCATGGTCACTCATGTTCGACTTAAAATAAACCTCTTTAAATTATTTTACAGAATTTAGATTTTTTTTCCATTATCACAGGCTTTATTTGTATTGGTCAAAATTAATTTGAAAAATAATAGAATAACTTTCTAACACAGTTCAGTTAGAACATAGATTGATGCTTTCAAATAGAAATTTCTCTGATGATGGACATTACTATATTGATGTCCAGTATAGTAAGTGGTAGGCATATGTGGCTATAAAATGTTAATGAATTTAAATTTACATGTAAATATCCACATGGAGCCAGTGGCTACATTTTATACATTGCCATTCTAGTACCAGTTATCCTAAAAGGTTTTTCTTCCTTCTAAAAGTAGGAAGATCATGAACATTAAGAATCATTGGAATAACAAATCTGTACCACTTCCATTCTAGATGATATTCCTTACATTCATTAAATTAAGAATTAATAGGCCAGGTGTGGTGGCTCACACCTGGAATCCTAGCACTCTGGGAGGCTGAGGCAGGTGGATTGCTCAAGCTCAGGAGTTCGAAACCAGCCTGAGCAAGAGCGAGACCCCATCACTACTAAAAATAGAAAGAAATTAATTGGCCAACTAAAAATATATAGAAAAAATTAGCCAGGCACTGAGCCTATAATGATGACAAAGATGATGATGATGATGATGATGAAAACAACTGTCTTGGTAGAAGTAGCTGGCAATACTGAGTCCACTGTGTGGCAGGCACTAGCTAAGGACTTTGCATATTAACTTCTCTTTTTTTGTTTTCTTTTTTGGTGGTCGTGGGGTGGTGTTGAAACAAAGTCTTGCTCTGGTGCCCAGGCTAGAGTGCAGTGCTGTCATCATAGCTCACAGTAACCTCAAACTCCTGGGCTCAAGTGATCCTCCTGCCTCAGCCTCCTGAGTAGCTGGGACTATAGGCATGTGCCACCCTCAGCTAACAAGTTATCTTTTCTAACTCTTAAGAATCTCAGGTCATTCTTGGTCACAAGTGCACTGGGCCCTCTGCTGGGGTAATGAGCTGCCAGAAATGGTGAATATTGTCTTTATAATTGATCAGATGAGAGTCCAAGATATAGGAATAGGATATGTTCAATGGCCCAGGGCAGGAGAGACCATAATATTCTCCTCGATGAAAGCAGGTCAGGAGGACAGTGTAATATGCCAGAAGCAAAATCAAATGGTAACTGTCACCTGTTTTTCCTAGTAACTGAGGAACAAGAACATGTCTTATGATGAGGGAAATTCATTAACTGAAGCTTCAGCCTTCACAAGCCACTATTGTTTGTTTTATTGTCAGCACTACAATAAGCAGCAAAACTATCCTAATAACATAAGAATATTGGATGTTGAATTTCAACTTTCGGTTTAAAAAAGCAAAACTTTAGTAACTAGATAGATATGACTAATATTTTCCAGTTTAAATCTTAGACCGCAAAGTGCCAGTGTTCAGAACAAGCCAGTCCTGGTAGGATGTGGGCATGCGTGTAGGAAGTCACACCCAGCAACCAGAAATTTATTATGCCTCTGGCCAGTTTATTTTAATAACAACACAGTCAATGTTGAAGGAAACAAAATAAATTTACAATAAAAATATATTTATAGAGCAGTTTCAAGCCCTTGGATGTAGCTAGATTAGCATTACTAATTTATAAGCATTCCATTCTTACCCATTTTATTATGTGCATATGGGATCAAAGACAGTTAACACAAAAAGTGGAGAAACACAGACCTTAAATAGCCCCACATTTGAAAACTCTCTGTCAATGTCTTTTAAATAATAGAAAACATGAAAGATTCCTCTTTAATGATATACTTGGCCACTTCATCACTCCATGAACTCAAACTTATCTCTCCATAAATACACACATTATCCTCTCAGAGAAACAGTTATTCTCACAGCTCATAAGGCATATATAATCCCAGGTTGGGGAGCCAATGACACCACAGCTATAAATCCTTAACACACATGATTGTTATAAAGCCAAGAAGCCTTTCGTTCTCTTTAAGGAAGTGGTATACTCACAGGTTCGGTTCCGGGTTTTGTAAGTGCAAGTATAAAGGCTGCAGGGCCTTACTGGCACGGACCTCGGAATCTGGAACTTTCTCCACAGCAGTTTGTATGGAGCTGCTTGAAGAATGACCCTCAGGCTGTTCATCACCATCTTTAGCTTGAAATCTTGATCAGTCCCCAAATAACTTGCAGGAACCTAATAACCTAGAGGGAAGAGGGCAGAGGAGGAAAAGCTGTGAACAATAGAAAGTTAAGATCTTGGGGAAACCTCTAAGTAGGACAACATTCAGACTCATAGTACACACCCTGAGGTGGGGGAGGGCGAACAGGAGTCAATAGTTTATTCACTCTTGTTCCCTAAACTCATTGGTCCCCTCGGTGGAGGGAAGGGAGGATCCTGCCCACTGACTCATGTGCTCTGCCTTTTTCTCAGGGTTGGCAAATACTACAGGTCCAGAGAAAAGATTCTCTTTAGCCACAGGAATGAAAAACCTGTTTACTGTACAGTTTCTTAAAATTACAAAGACATTTGCTCCCTGAATTCCCAACTAGTTATCCAGCATGGTACTCACATGTAAGAAGAAGCCCAAGATTAAAGCTGCCTCCAGGCGGCCCGAATAAAAACAATCATCTGTGTCTGGATTGCTTAAAAAGAACGCAAGATGCATCCTGCCAAAATAGTCCTGGGTGGTTTTGAAATCTAAGCTTAAATATAATCTGTGATTCTTTGCCAATAACACTAAAACCGGCAGAGGCCCTCGTTGAATATGGGCAAAATGGACAACATTAATTAATCCTGAACTCTCTTTCTACCTCTCACATATTCACAGTGAAAGTCTCTTCTGAGAGTGAGGCGATGATTTCAAGGTATTCACTACGGTGTTCTGAAATACTGTAATACTAACTTTGAACACTTCCCCCCACTTCCTCCTCCCCCTAAATTGCTTCATCCACTTTCCCTGAAAACTCCCATCCCTGTACCAAGTGAACAAACACATTCTGAAATGAAAAAAAAAAACCAAAACACTTTTTTTTCTTGATTACACATTCATTCCACTATAGATTTTGAAATGTGTAGTGTGAGTACTTTAGATGCATTCAGGCAGCTGTTGGGGACACTGTTTGAGCAATTGTGACTGAGGGGTGGGTGCCAGGCCATGTGCCCTGGCCCTGCTGAGGTCTCAGCCTCATGTCCATTTGCGCTCCTGCCTGCCCGCCGGCCACGTGAACTTCACTTCTTCCAACTGCTGCTTCCCTCTCGCCTGTGCAGATGTGCTTCCTTCCCAGGGCCCCTCTCCCTCCATCCATCTGGGTCTGGTGAATTCCCACCCTCTCTCCAGGTGACTGACTCCTGCCTCACTTCCTCAAAGCTCCCCTGACCATGTGCTCAATAGGTCAGCCCAGCACCCTCTTCCTGGCCACAGTGCTTATCACAGTGGAATTAAATACCTGGCAGGAATGTCCTTCCTGACACTATCCTCCCCAGCATCTAAGCCCCACGGAGGCAGGGACCATACCTGTCCCTATCAGAGCTGCATCTATAAGGGACACAGCACCTGGCTCACAATGGGTGTCTGGGGAGTACTAGTCGAATGACCTCAGTAGGCTCCCTGGGTGACAAAAAAGATATTGATCTAATTTCAAGAACCCAGAACTGTGCTGTGACTGCCAGAATGTTCTGGAAATGTACTAAGGGCCTTTCCTTTTCTTAAATGCCACCATCACCCATTTGTAGGGTTGTTTATACTTTCAAAACACTTTTCAATGCTTATCCTTTAAGAAGAGGGTCTCATATCCACACCTATAAGATCTGAAAAGACCATCAAAGTTCTGCCTGTTCTAAAAGAGGAACCTGCCCAAATACGAGCCTCCCATAGTCTCATAGGGCTGGGACTCTGCCAGGAAGCATTTTCATTTCAACATTTATTGTTATTTCCAGTACTCCAGGAACTGTATTGGGTGCTGTGGTGCAAAGGTGACCAAGAGCATAAAAGGGAGTGAAGTCCTGTTACATGTTATAATGTGAATGGGCCTTGAAAACATGATGCTTAGTGAAATGAAGCCAGACACAAAAGTCACATAGTATATGATTCCATTCACATGAAATACTCAGAATAGGGAAATCTACAGAGACAGAAGGCAGATTTGTGGTTGCTAGGTGTTAAGAGAAGGGGAAAATGGGAAGTGACTCCTTACTGGATGCAAGGTTTCTTTTTGGGTGATGAAAAAGTTTTGGAACTAGATGGAAGTGGTGGTTGCACAACATTGTAATGTTGTAAATGCCACTGAATTGTACACTTCACAAAGGTTAATTTTACATTATGTGAATTTTACTTCAGCAAACCAGTTCAAAGTAGGGCATTCCGGTATGACTCTCAGCAGTATGGCCATGCTCACAGAAAGGGGAGGGGAGCCAAAAGGCACACAAAAGAGAAATTGAGGGGCACAAAAGACACATTTGTGAAAGCTGATTATACAGATTGGGTTATTCTTGTCATACTCAAATAAATCAGAGTCAAGGGGTGGGGAAAAGTACTCGAGCACTCGGAACACATAGCACTTGCTCCAAGAACTTTTCCACAAGCCTGGTTGCTGAAACTGCCTGCTGTAACCTGAAACCAGTTTTTCTAATAGCTACTGAAACAACCTGCTGCGATTCTGAGACTAGTTTTACCCACTGCCATCACACACCATCAGAGCTTGCAAGCTCCCCAAAACTTTACTAGTGCCAGTGAACTTTCTTTCAAAGCAATGCATATCACTTCACCTTTATATAAAACCTCCAACCTTGTCTTTGTTCTTGGGGCATACCGAAGACCACCTAGTCTGTGTGTATGCCCTGAACTGCAATTCTTACTTCCCAAATAAAACGTTAAATTTAGATTCTTCTCTACATTTTCATTTTGACTTTGATACAGTTCACTTACAGACCTGAACTTTATTTCTTCATACCATCTTTCTGACAAGACTGTAAGATACAACACCCACATCATGATCCCAGTGATGCTGAGCCAAGAGGCAACATTGCACTTTCATCCTACCCTCTCTGCGCATATCCTGCTAGTAATTGGCCATGAACTAGCTCCTCTCCTCTGCTGCTGCTGTCCTTGGCCCTGCTCTGTCTGAGTTGGAAGGGAGAAGGCTACAGCAGGTGAAAGGAGAGAAAAATCACACCTGACAAGCCATGTCCAATGAAAGCAGGAAGCAGAATTATTTCCTGTCACTACTCTTCAAGAAACCATGGAGGGCTCCAGGCAGAGTTATCAACAAACCATCTGCCCAGACAAGTATTGTGGCATGTAGCACTTTGCTAATGCGTCACTTTGCAAATATACACAATGAACTGAAATCACAATAAAGGGGACTGGCACGGCCGGGCGTGGTGGCTCATGCCTGTAATCCTAGCACTCTGGGAGGCCGAGGTGGGCGGATTGCTCAAGGTCAGGAGTTCGAAACCAGCCTGAGCAAGAGCGAGACCCCCTCTCTACTAAAATAGAAAGAAATTAATTGGACAACTAATATATAGAGAAAAAACAAGCTGGGCATGGTGGCGCATGCCTGTAGTCCCAGCTACTCGGGAGGCTGAGGCAGCAGGATTGCTTGAGCCCAGGAGTTTGAGGTTGCTGTGAGCTAGGCTGACGCCACGGCACTCCTCTAGCCTGGGCAACAAAGTGAGACTCTGTCTCAAAAAAAAAAAAAAAAAAAAAAGGGGAACTGGCAGGAAGTTAGTGATTACCATGGAGGCTTCTCACCTCTAGGCCTGACTCCCTACCTGGGGTTTTTTAGGCTAGTGACACCTGAAGTCATCTGCATTGCCCAAAGGTGTTTGAAATTCTCAAACCAAAGTTAAAATCAGTTTTGTTTATAGTTTTGTGTGTTTGCGTATATACATTTTTAAAGGGAGCTTGTACTCAAAATGTATCTTATTTAAGATAGTAAGTTTGACTCAATTTCAAACATAGACTAGTAAACTTTCAAGGGATGATCTTGGTAGTGCCTTGAGCCAAATAATAGCACCTTGTTTTCCAATGTCTTTCTTAACTGAATTAACTGAGCAGGCTTATAGAATAATAGACCATCAACGACCTCAATTCAGAATCTGAATCTGCTTGGTTTTTCTTAACTTTTTATTATGAAAAAACTTTAAATTTCTACAAATACAGTGAGAAAACTATCATAAACCACCTATGTATCCAATATTTATTTTCAATAATTGTCTATTCATGGTCAATCATGTTTTATTTCTACTGTTCCCCCCCACCCCACCACTTTCCCTCCCCGGATTATTTTGAAGCAAACTCCAGATATCCTATCAATTTAATCATGATTCTATTTTTCATAGAAAAAAATAGTCTACTAATTTATAGTTTTTTCTCCATAAAAATTATCTGTACTAAATAGCCTTTGGTGATAGTGCATTACAGAAAATGAAAACTATCAATTTTTCAAAATTAAGAAAATAGCAAAAAAGCCCAGTAACCCAATAAACTTTCTTACTATCAACCAAACCTTTAACATAAACACTTAAATACTTCTCTCTTGATAGGTCCACCCTCATCTTAGATGAGAGCTCAGATTAGGAACTTTATGTTCTTTCTAATTTGGAAGACCACATTCAGCATAAAACTGCATAATTTATAATTGCAGTTCAACAGAATAAAAGGATCATGTGAACTGAAACGTTTAAGATTAAAGCTTAATGTACACCCTTAAATTTATGCAAGAATCTAGAACCTGAGGAGCAGGAAAAATAGTTGTTCAGGAACACCACAGAAGAAATTAACTCTGTGACTTCAAATGGTGCAGGCTACAACAAAACTCTCTAAAAAAGCTGATAAGTGTTATATACATGCAAGTTATTATCACTCAAATCGAGTTTGCTATAATGCTACCCATGATATAAATGCAAAAAAACCAAAAAAAAAAAAAAAAAGTTTAAAAGAACTTTAAAAACAATTTTTTCTTTTTTAAAAGCCAATAGCTTCAAACAATTGCAACTAATCAGCATTCCCTCTGATAAAACTGATTTGAGCTGAAATGAAATTTTAAAAACTGCTAAGTGATATGGGGACACTTTGCCGTAACTGGTGTTTCCTTTCCACTGGCTTCCATTCCTGAATTGAAGCAATAGTGCATGATTATCTCATGTCAAGCACTTGCTTGTGTAAAGATGAAAAAGTCATGCTCTTTCCCCATTCCCACAA